ATACACAAGATTCTGAGATCCGGTTATATTGCCTCCACAAGGATGTGGACACTGGCAAACAAAAAAACAGTGACCAGTCTGGTATAACCTCCCCTACTTCCAGCATGTCTCTGTTTTATAACAAAGCAGTACCATAAGAAACACCATAAACACAGAGGGATGGGACTCTCAGTGAGTCCGTCAGTGAACACCAAAAAAAGATTTTATAGCGAGTACAAAAATCCAATTTTTCTCATTCATTGAAGGGCAGAAGATTGATAGACAACTGGGATGACCAAAAGCAGGCCAACAAAAGGGGAGATAAAGCAAAAAGTGAGGGTACAGCTGCACACTATTGAAGTCATACTGTAACACTTCATTCTATGTAGCTGGTTTCCAAATCTCAGTCCCCACCTTAGGCCATGCCTGGTTCATTTCACCATTACTGAGCTTAATCATAGAGGATTTAGCCCCATCAGGGTAAAATGCATCAGAGGGCGTGGCTGTACCTTCACTTTTTGCAATACATTTCAAACGGGATGAGCAGTGCGTCCAGCACCTGAAGAAACAATAGGACTTGAGGTGCAGCTTAGCAGAACTTTGAGCAGGGCATTCTGTCATGGGACTTCAGAAGGGTAGGTACCACAGCAAACAAAATGCTAAAAAACCCACTATAAACAACAGAAAAAGTGGGGGCTGCATGCAGCTCGAAGAACTGAATGAAGGACCTTGAGCCCAAAGTATCAGTTGAGGACTGGACATCCACCTGGTAAAACTTATAGAATGTGTAAGCAGAAGACCAGGTGACAGCCTTGGGAAATAGTTGCTTGATGCCGTAAAGTCTCAGAAGCACTTACAGACCTAGTCGAGTGCGCATTTACAGGAAAGGATGGCACGCAATTATTAAAGTGTATGTTAACCCTAAAAATGAATATTTCATGAATGCTTCTGTGTGTCCATGTTGTTTGTCTAATGTGATAATTAAAAAATAACATTTTGCTGTGTTACAATGTGTGTTATTAGGAGTGTATTCACAGATACTTTAAAATCATAAGCTTGAAAGATGGTTTGTATGAACCGCTGAGAAGGGTGGAACGCAAATTTGGTTCCCTTTTGCAGGGACTATCAAGGATGACAAAAAAAGCCAGTCTTTCAAATGAAAGCAGTGGCTATGAGGTGGACATTCAAAGATCAAACTACATCCAGGCAGTGAAAGGTAAACCTCTTCTGATATACCCGGACCGAGAGACAGAAGCACAATGTTGTGGTTTAGTTGCAAGGCCAAAATCACCTTAAGATCACCTTAAGATGAAAGAAGGCTCTAGGCATTTATACCACATTGTCCATGTGTAAAATTAAAAGTGTTCTTTACAGGAAAAAATAGTCGGTGTCTCATACCCATGTCTCACAGAGGTGGTGGTGACAGGGACTGCAAACTTGTGAGTAAGAGTGGAAAGGTGAATATCCCGGATAGGTTTAAAAGGTGGTTTTTGAAGAGACAAGTGAACCAAACTCAAATCTCAAGCAAGACTCTGCTCAAAGGTCCTAAATGCAAAAAGTTCAGTATCCACCCAACATAATATTTTTTTTTTTGCACTCATCAAAAGAGGTCCTGCATCTGTGATGGTGGTCCTTGCAAGAAGTGGACTTCCTAACTTTCAGCATCATAAGAATCATAGATTTAGAGTGGCCCCCTTATTCAAGACCTGAAAGAGCTCACAAAGAGTCTTCCTTGGAGTCTGATCAGGTTGGAGTACTACATCTGGCTGGAACAATTTGGAGCTCTGAGTATTGCTGAAATAATCCTAGACCTGGACATCAGCCTGTTAAGCTTGTTGTTCAACCTGGAGATCCACATGCAGCGTACCCTGCCTGGAATAGAATACTTCCAGATTTAGGGCCCAGGAGCTGCCAGCTGAAAAAGTCTTGCTTTCAATTGTCCCCACCTATCTTGCCAGGTTAAAACCAAAGAGGAGACCACACCCAACATAACTAGAAATACTCTGTGGTGGTAAAGACTCAAGCAGGGGACAACTTTCCTGTGTCAGGCCTTTGAAAAAAAAACACTGTAGATCCCACTAAAATGGTTAGTGAATCATAAGCTGGAGGCACATGCACAGTGGGACTACTCCTCAAGTGTTTGTGATCCACCATATTGCACCTCAAGCAGAGACACAGTTTTATTAATTTTTTTTTTTTTTTTTTTTTTTTTTTTGTACACTCATTTAAACATTTTTTTTTTTCATTTAACTTTCACAAGGAGAACTAACCTGCTATATGATAGCTTTGAGCAGGTGACAGGTACTCTGTATTAGTCTCTTAAAGCCCTGATATCCCCACGGCAGTTAACCAAGCACAAATTGTGCTTGATTAGTTGCTTCCCTGACTGTAGCAGTCAGGTAAAGACAGTTCTGAAATCGGCAATGATTAAATCATCATCGCTTCCAGCTTTATTAGTCACAGGGATCGGGGAACAGATGTTCCTTCATCTACTCTGAGTTTGTGAATGTTATAGATGAAGTCAGGAAAAATTAGGACTCCGTAACAGTGTGAAACTATATCAGAGAAGCTTCATTTGTCTAATAAATGTAATAGCAAGCCTCATGTCAGCTCTTATCCTTACAGCTGTAAAATGAAATCAAAATTCACTTTAAAGAGCAATTTGTTTTCATCAGCCTTCCTCTGTGCTGCCTGTGACAGAAGGTTTTTTTTTTGTCTTACAAGAACCTACAAACTTTAGTGGTTTGGGACCCCAGGCTGCAGGGCTTAGATAGCAGGGGACCAACCAGAAGATCCTATCATGGACTGCTGGGCTCAAAGTAGCTTTTTCTTTCTTTGCCCTTTCCCATGTACTTTGTTCATGAAGAGTCCCCCACTGGATTCTACAACCACCACACATCAGCTGGTAAACATTTTAGTGAGGTTTTGACAAATAAACCAGAACTCCGGGGATAATCTTAATTGCACTGTTACATTGGTCCAGCTGGGGCAAAGGTTTGTCTGATGGACAGTTGTAGAAGAGGAAATCACTGTAGCAGTTGGCATTACTTCAGTGATTGCCACTATCTTCCAGGACCTGTGCTGAGCGGCTGCCCCACTGCACACTGACCATTGGGGGTTGCTTGCACTGCCATCATTCAAAGAACAATTTTTTTTAAATGAATACAAGGAGTTCTCTGATTGGACAAGCTGGAGATCATGATGTCGCTTTCCCACCTCTTCCAAATCAGAAGGTCTTGAACTATAAAAAAATTCAAGATTTTCTGTGAATGATGGTGCTACAGGACCCAGACAATTGTGGGTGTCCCTATAATAATGCCGACTACTGCAGTGATTGTTAGCTTCCCCATCAATCCATCAGGTACGAGATATGTATAATTACATTGGTCCAGGCTGGAGTTCAAACTGTGGTTCCTCATTTGCAGCTTTCTGGTTCTAGAGAAAGCTGAGAGGTAGTAGCATCTGAAATTGCATTCCTCTCCTATTGCCATTACAGAAGTTGAAAGTGGAAGCCTTGGCTTTGACTTTTTTCCTTGATCTCTAAGCAGCTGATATAAAGCAGTCAGTCAGTGCATTTGTAGCATTGAAGAATATCAGAGGATATTAGAGAAGCAAGAAAGCTAGCATCTGAACCTTTTTCTCCAATATATCAAGGTTTTTAGACACATTTTTTTAATGCTGTTGCAGGTGTTTCTTCCTATGGGCATTAATATGAAATTTTAATCCCAGCTGATGTGTGTTGCTATTCTTTTTAATCAGTGTGTTTAATGTAACTGCACAGAAATGAGACATACCAGCAGTATTATTTTTATCTACTAAATTAACACAATTTTAGTCAACTAAAATATGACTAAAACTAAAATGTAATTTTAGTCAAAAGACTATGACTAAAATGAAATCAAAATTTTACATCAAAATGAATACTGGTTATATATGGCTACATCTGTGTCTGTAGTGCATGTTCAAACCTTAATACTATAAATAATAACATGTTATTAGATTTTTACTCCAGAAGTATAAAACGAGTTTGGAAATTCTAGAGAAATGCTTAAATAATGCATTACAATTTACCTAAACCCATTAGATTTTAGTTGACTAGTTGAAAAGAGATTTAACCTCTGTATAAGGTAAGGCTTTTTCACAGTAAGAGCTGTGAAAATGAGTATAAGATTTCCTCAATAACTAGTTTTGGCCAGCTCAATAGATTGTTTTTTAAACAAACTGGATGTATTCCTAAATGCACAAAATATAACAGGATATCAACATTAGGTAATACTAGGGATTGTTGATCCCTGGAATATCTAATTGCCTCCTAGGGGGGTCAGGAAGGATTTTTTTCCCCCCACTGGAGGAAAATGGATAATGCTTTAGGATAGGTTCACATCTAAGTGGCTCTGGCTGCTGCATTTATGTGGGCACAGCAGCCTATAAATTTGAATAAGCTGCTGTAACTGCGTTTCCTGTAGGGAAAAAGTCCCATTTTAAAAGGTGGGCGCACAAAAACTAGTGCTTTTGCACTATGCGTTTCAGCGTGCAGAAAACCACACAGTGTCTTTCAGTGTGAGCATAAATTACACCCTTGAGTGTTTTCTTTAAAGCAGAGCGTTTTGTGCATGGCTGCGGGAATACATGGGATTTACAAGCATGCTCGCAGACCAAACATATTGGGTTTTTTTTCCCTCCTCTAGATCAACTGTAGGTCTAGGATTGTGTATATTGAGGTTTTCTATTGGTTGAACTTGATGGTCTTTTTTCAACCTGACAGTGTAACTATGTAAGATGAGCACTAAGTCACAACCCAGTGGCTCCTTGTGTTGCTTCTTCCTCTCCCAGTCTGCATTCTAATGCAGTGGGGATTGATACCAAATTTAAGTCAGGTGTCTTCACTGCTTGTATTAAAAAAATAAATTGTATTTAATAATGGCTAAAGAGCTGCATTCATTTGCGTATTTTATATCTGCCAGGAGTTCTTTTTAAACCCCACTAGCTGTTTTGTAAAATGTAAAAATAAAATTACATACCTGAATTTCATTCCAGATATCTTCATCCACTAATGTGGCAGCAGTGTAGTGCTGGAGAGGCACAATCAAACAATGTCCCTCTGTGAGAGAGAGGTGGTTGGGGAGACACATATAAACCTAGAAAAGCAAACAAATATAAAATTGCAAGCTAACATAAGACATTTGAGCTATCTAGCCATAATAAAAGATAGGTAGGTCCAAAACACATTCATATAACAAAAAATAAATCAAATTACACTTCACTCAGTAAAATCACAATACACTTCAACATGGTATATCATGACTAGCAGGTAATCCGTTTTGTGATTGTGATATTTTGAATGGCCTATGCATTTTTCTCATGAAAACTGCTGACAGGTGTCCTTTGCGGTGTTAGTGAAATAGTTGAAGCCCAATTCAGGCATTTTATCTGTATTTTACATTTCCTAGAAACTGCATTGACAGGTCAGCAGGATTTTTTTTTTGTTTTTTTTTTTACTCAACCTCCCCTGTGGAGGACTTCCCCTTCCATCAATGGCCCAGACGTCACATCATTAACAGGTTGGATTGTGCCCAACGTCATCCGACTACTTCTTCCATAATCATGGCCATGCCTCCTGTAGTCAAGACACTGTCAAATTCTGTCATGTGAGTGTGCCAGGTTTCCCCTCTCAGATACTGACACTGAAATGAGAATCAAAAAGACAGTCTTGTGACCGCAACATCTGAACTCTTTTCAAGGTATAGGGCAGCCTTTTTCAACCAGGGTGCCCAGGCACTCTGGGGTGCCTTGAAGTTTCTTCAGGGATGCCTTGGCAAAATGTCTAAACATTGTATACAAGTCAGCAGGTGGATCAAGCCTGCATTTAGTTACACAAAGCCACAGGTTTTCATTACAACCATCTGGCAATTTTGCACATTCAAAGCAAAACTCGCCCATCCATGTATCCATGCTTTGGAGAAATCACTTTGAAAAAACAACTCCTAACATTTCTGGCCATTGCCATCTTGAGTAAGGGCAGATGTTTCATGTAGCATTTACTGTACTTCCTGGAATCTATCTGCCCTTAGCTCAGACAGCTTATTGCTAGCCTGAAGATTAACAAATTATAAATTATCAACAGTACGGTTGCACTTATACCAAGTACTTACAGAAGCACTTGTGCAAATGTGCTCAATACTGAAACCGATACCTTTGCAGCACGATTTAAGCTCATACAGTGGATAGGAAGCCTCTAGCGGTTCCTATCCACTGGACCTCCCCATACAACGCTAGCTGTTTAACAAAACCCTGACAATGCGAGCAAGAAAACTTCAATGCGATAAGCTTTACAATTAATCAGATCACTGACACAGGTTGAATTTGTAGTGATTAACTAATGAAAGATTTCTGGACAGGTGAGTTAGAAAAATCAACCCAATAGAACAAGGTATTGAGGAACTTTTCTTTTTTTCCCTTGACTGAACTAGAAAAGTCATAGAAATGTAATTTATTGCTATTGTTGGAAAGGTGGGTTATTTATACAAGACAGGGATAAATGACCTGGCTGCATACATTAACTGCATCAAAATTGGGTTTTTGTAAGCTTTGAGGCCTATATTATGTTGAAGCATGTGAAAAAAACTGGGTGTATTGGAAGTGGAGTATCATTCCATTCTAGGCCTCATGCACACTGGTTGTTTTTGATGCTGCTGCCGATTTATTTTTCTGACGCTTAACACCCCTGCATGTTAGCCTATGTGTCCATGAACACAAAAGGTGTTTAGAGAAGTTTAGAGGCAGGAAAAAAACACACCGTATCCAGAAACAGCCGCATTTTGGTTTATTGCATTTGCTTTAGAGCATTAATTCATTTAAATGGCCAGAATAAATGAGGTTTTCTGGCCAATGAAATGAAATAACGCCCAAAAATTTTACAGTTGTAAACATGCCTAAATGCATTACACACGTTTACAAGCATCAAACTTTTTTTTTGCTAGGAGGCAAGGCGTCTAGGAAAGATAGCGAAAACGTCCAGTGTGCATGAGGTCTTAGGGTTACATCTCTTACTATACTCCAGAAAGTCCCAATGTAAAATATCCCTTCGAGTTTATCAAATTAAGGATGACTGGGGATCTGTATCATCTTGTCAGCTTTGAATTCTTTCTTGAGGCATACAGTACTATGACAAGTCACTCATATCAATGCCATGGTACACCTCCTCTAAGGCGTTCTTTGGAGCGTCATAGTCAGAATAGCCTTATCTTCACGAAAGAAAACTCTTGTTTATATGCTGAAGTTCCCTTACCTGTTCCCTAAACTGCCACCTTCCTTTGTCCACTGTGTCGTGGCTAATACAAAATGCGGTACTGCCACTTAGTTACAGTTAGTCTGACCGAAAAAAGACAACAGTCCATCCAGTTCAACCATTAAAAAAAACACATACAAAGATAGTATATAAATTGTCAACACTGCCCACAAGAAAGAAAATGGCAGTTCATGCAAGAGCCACATTATGCAGTTTCTGTACACATTCTACCATAAAAAAAAACTAAAAGCAAGTAAGGGTAAATAGCTTTCCCCCTTATTTCTATAACTACATATTTGATGTGCTCTTTAAGCCCTTCTCCATAGAATCCATTTTTAGTCTACACCTTGAGGTTTTGTGGGGCATTTCCCCTTCCTAAATAACTGCTACATTCTTAGCAAATAAGCATCTGTGAAAATTACTTACAGCAAAGGCTGTATGTGACAAATAATAAGCAAATAAACTAGACAGGCCTGACATATATTGTTATCTTTACTCTAAAAAACGAGTATTATTTTCTGAGCTCTGATTCCATCTATCACGCTGCACAGGCAACAACCATTAACGTGTAGGGCCTTTCTTCAAGAACACGGTGTCAGTTTTCATCTTGCAGACACAGGCCGGTACCCATTGCCCCATACTGGTAATGCTACAAGTGCTGAATTTCATCTGTGCAGCAATTTCATGCTAACCTGATTCGGTCTATAACTTCAAGCTACAAACTAATCTCGCTGTAATCTAAGTAAAAAAAATAAAAAATGGTGTCGTTGCCTGATTCTGCTGGCCAGAACAGTATTATTTATTTTCCAAAAACCTGTAAAACATGTTGACCAAATGAATCCTTTACTAACCTACTCAGCAGCAATGACAGATTCTATGCTGAAGGTTATCAGGGACAGCTACCGTTGAATCTGTAAAGTAGATTAAAGCCGGCCATTGTCGGTTTGAATCTTGGCCGGTTCAGCAGGGACCGGCCGAGATTCGAACTATATATGGGCAGTCTGAATATATTCAAGTTGATCGATCAACATGGGTACAATCAGCCTGTCTGATTTGACATTATTATTATACAGGATTTATATAGTGCCAACAGTTTGCGCAGCACTTTACATGACGAAGGTAAACATTACAGTTACAATACAATCTGGTACAAGAGGAAACAGAGGGCCCTGCTCGTTAGAGCTTACAATCTAGGAGGCATGCGATTATTGCTAGCGACTATTATAGCCGCTAGCAGTAATCACGGTTCTCCCTGCAGAGAAAGCTCCCCTGCCCGGAGAACACAATAGCTCTGCGGGATGGATTCCCCCATCAACACTGACTCTGTTGATGGGGAAATCAAGTTATTTGCTTTCCAGCAACCAATAATCGCTCCATCTATGGCCAGGTTTAGACCCTATCTGAATGACATTTAGTTTGCTAAGGCACTGCGTTGTCATAAACAATCGAGGGAAGGAAAGGTAATTACAAGCTGTTGGAAAAGGGAGTCTGCATGGGCAACACACATATAAATCACATTGTGTACAGTATTAATACTGCTGTAAAAATAACCCCCTTCTGATCTACTGATGTAGCAGCTTTCTGCACTGGCATTTTCTACTGATCTCAAATCTAAATTATCTCTAATGTGACCCTGCTGTCCTCTGACCCATAAGAGAGACCCCCAAACAGTGTAATCAACCTAGCAGTCTTGCCTCTTTACAATGTGTCTCAGCTCAGTGGAAATCATAATGTGCTTTTAGAGCAGGCCAACATGGGAGATTTCTGTTTGCACAAGACATATTGACTTTTTTCCTTGTTATGGGGGTTTATATGCCAAACTAAAAATTATATCCAGAGGGACAAAAAGGAGGTACTGACACATCGGCATTCCCTATATTAACGTTAAAAAACAAAAAAATAAAAAAACACACTGATTGTCCCCCACCCCCCTACCCTAGACACTTAGCTGACTCTTCTCACCTATGTCACCTGTGTCTATAGACACACACAGCCCTGCATGGGATCATGCTCATTCAGGTGCTCCCTTAGCACCTGGCTTGCTGAGGGGGCACTTGGAGGAGAGAGAAATAGACAGTGTCAGTGGGAGATGCCAAATAGGAGGTAAGTGAATGCTCTGTGCAATATCATTTCACAGAGCAAGTATATCATTTATTTTTAGGCTAAAGGATATGTTTTTCTGGACCACAAGCCTTGCGCGATATGGTTTACCACATTTTCAGGTGCCATTATAATGAATAACACCTAAACACATGGTTCCGTGATTTGCCACTTTAACAGAGTATTTTGAAATCGCAGGCAAAATTGCAGCAATTCTGCCTATGATTCAAAATGCTCTAGTGTGAATGAGGCCTTGTTTACATGGGCAGCCAGGGTCTTACACATGCTGTGACCATGATGCTTTGCTTCGCAGCTGTTGCAAAAAAATTATACCCCATGTCATATTCATTTGGTAGCACCACTGGGAAACGTTATATAGTTAGTCTGGCTGAAAAAAGATAAAAGTCCATCCAGTTCAACCATTAAAAAAAAAAAGTTATAATCCTATACCCACAGATGATCCAGAGGAAGGCAAAAACACCCCCCAGCAAAGCATGACCCAATTTGCTCCTGCAGGGAAAAAAAATCTTCCTGATCCCCCGAGATCAGGATCAACTTTACCTATAAATGTTAGTATCCAGTTATTTTCTGTCTATCTAAGAAAGAATCCAGGACTTTTTTAAAGCAATCCACGGAGCTGGCCAGAACCAACTCTTGAGGGAGTCTATTCCACATTTTCACAGCTCTTACTGTGAAGAAACCTTTCCGTGTTTGGAGATTAAACTTCTTTTCCTCCAGACCAAA